CTTGTTGAATTAGGATGGCAAGAATCCTCAAGAAGCTATTTTCAACAGAATTTTGTTAAGTGTAGAGGCCAATGGTTGACATAATTTATACAGGAAGACAACTGATTGATAGTTGTCGAAACTGTTTTTGGCAACTGCCAACGACGGTGAAACTTCACCGTCTCCCTGAATAAATTTTGTCAACCATTTTTTCGGAAAATATTCTAGTTAAGTATACAATATCTTTTTTTTTTTTTGGCTTGTATGTACGAAATATGGATGAATCATTTTTTCATGGAGTTAGTCTAAAGATAGTAATCTTAACATCTTGTTTTGTAGTGCTATTTTTGTTGAATTTCGTAATAATTCATTTTAAGTCCTTATAATGAAATGATACCAATAAAAGTAAGTGAATTGTCACGATAGAAAATGACTTTAAAAATGATACCAATAATAAAAGTGGACATATAAACATCATAGGTTTTTGTGTGAGCAAGTAGAGTTCGCATGTGCTGTCGAGCTTGGCTATCCTTGTAGCATTTTGTCATTAAAATTTTGAAACCTTAGTATAATTTTGAGGTGTCAAAATTGTAAACAAAAAATACAAAATCTTTGATTACAACCCTTTGAAAATTAACTACTTGCAAGACTAGCAGATGTACAATATTAATCATTACTGAGGTAATTTCTATGCAAGAAAGCTACACTCGATATATTATATGGAAGACTTTGGTGTAGTTTCTCAAAAATTAATGTTTGAGGTCAAAAGTTGAATCGATTACTCCCACTTGATGGTCGAAAATTCTCCGTTGAACAGAGCACGTGTGAAATGTGCTTCCACAATTGGAGAAAACATGTTTGCGGAATGACATTTTTTTTTATTGTGATACGTGGATTGCTAGTGTTCGACGGATGAGATTTGTGGATTTTTTTTTTTTGTTGGCTTAACCCTTTATCTTCTGGTAATTTGAATGGATTATTGATTTTGTTATCTGTCTCTCGAATTCCTCACTTGAGAAGCCTTAAATTTTGCCTCTTCTACTTCATCTCTATATATTATAAATTTACTAGGGTGTCACCCGTGCGATGCACGGATATTGTACTAAAAAAATAAATTTATAAACGTTGAGATTAAATATTTCATTTGACTTAAACAGGATTATTGAGGTTGTTATAAAAGTATATGAAATAAGTATCATATATGCGTTACAATTGTCATAAAAAAATTAAACCGATGTTCCAACTACTACAAATTTTGAAAAAGTTCCTTGAAAACACATTTGTCGTTGAATTGTCATGTCCGTCATCCTTATCGCAAATCAAAATCTTCAACCCTTTGTGATTTGTAACTCTAGACATAGCAACGTATAACTGACCATGGCTAAAAACTGATTTTTTCAAATACAAACCAACATGAGATAGCGATTGACCTTGACTTTTGTTGATTGTCATTGCGTATGATACAATAAGAGAAAATTATCTTCGTTGAAACTTGAATGGCAGCCTTGGATTAGATGGAGTCAACGTCATTCTAGGGATAAGAA